CATAATAATAATCACTAAGAATTTTTCAGGACCGGTGCGGAGGCTCATTCCCATGATCCCAGGACTTTGGGAGGAGGAGATAACAAGATTTCCTGAGCATATAGTTTCCAAATCGCCTGCAGCAACTTGGTGAGCCCTCATCTCTCCAACAAATAAAAAAATTGTTCAGGCACGGTGGTGCACACTTCTGGTTCCAGCTACTTGGAAGGCTAAGTGGAAGGTTCGCAAGTAGGTTGAGGCAACTGTGGTCATGAGAGTGCCATTTCTCTACATCCAGGGGAAACAGTGAGACTCTTACTAAAAAAAAAAATAAAGCCAGGCTCGGTAACTCAAGCTGTAATCCCAGCATTTGGGAAGGCCAAGGCAGGAGGATTGTGTGAAACTGCAGGGTTGAGGCAAGCCCGGGTAATTTGGTGAGACCTCGTCTCTACAATAAATAAAAACTTAGCCAGGTGTGGTAGCACATGTCTGTAGTTCACATAACACAGGAGGTTGCCACAAAATTATTGATTAATAACATTATGTGACAGAGTGATATTCCAACTAAAAACATATATATATATATATGCAAGTGCTGTATCACATAAACAAAGATCTGAGTGCTACATGTACTTACTCATAATTGGACCCAGAACAATTATCATAATACTATAAGAAAATGATTGGCACTAGTGGGACTCTGCCATAGTGGGCGATACAACATTAATAAGGGCAAACAAACTTTATGTGTACAATGACAGCTTATGACCTAACACTGAATTGTACCCTACATTTTATTTTATATTTTTGAGTTGGAGTCTCTATCATGACCTAACACTGAATTGTACCCTACATTTTATTTATTTTATTTTATTTTTTTGAGTTGGAGTCTCTATCATCCAGAGTGAAATGTAGAGGCACACATCTGGCTATCTCAGCCTCACCCTATTGGGCTCCGGTAATCCTTCCGTCTCAGTCTTCCAAGTACCCCGAATTACAGGTGTGGGCTACCACACCTTGCTAATTTTTGATTTATTATAGAGATGAGGTCTCGCTAAGTTGCCCAGGCAGGTTTCAAACCCGCGGTATCACTCAATCCACTCACCTAGGCCACCCAAAGTGCTGGGATGACAGGCTGAGCCACCAAGCCCGGCCATACCCTACATTTTAAAATAACATAATACAAAAAAGAAAAGAGAAAACCACAGAAACCCGGTCTCCCTGGATGAGGAAAATGTCAAAGCACAATTTCTATTCCATATTAAGGATTTCAAGTCATTTATTGTAGAAATATCACATTTGAATTGAAATGTAAAAATCAGCAGGGCTCTAGCCTCGGTGACAGAGTGAGACTCCAATTAAAAAAAAAAGTCAAATTATAAAGTGCAAAATATTTCTGAAATACATGAAAAATAGTAGAAGTAGAAAATAATGAAAATACATGATTGGGAAGATTAAATGATATTATTGTCAATAATCCTCTTATCAGATTATTAATTCAGTTTGATACTGATATACAAACAGCTGTTTATTTTCTGAGGAGAACAAATTGTTTTGCAAACAATATTTAAATGGGAAATCCATAAAAATTTGAAAGACGTTGTTATCCATAATAAGGACTTGAAAAGTAGCCAGTCTTGGTGGCTCAGCCTGTAATCCCATGCCTTGGGAGGCTGAGGTGAGTAAATTGCCTGACCCCACGGGTTCGAGACCCACCTGGGCAACTTGGTGAGACCTCATCTCTACAACAAATCAAAAAATCAGCTGGACGTCTTAGAGCGGGCCCGTTGTTCTGGCCACTTGGAAGGCTGAGGCGCAAGGATCACCAGAGCCCAGCAGGTCGAGGCTGTGGTGGTCTGGGAGAGAGAGTGAGGCTCCAACTAAAAAAAGAAAAGTAAAACAGTGTGATAATGACTTTAAAAAAATACAGACTGGGGCCGGGCTCAGTGGCTCATCTTGTAATCCTGAGCTTTGGAAGGCCAAGATGAGTGAACTGCCTGAGCCCGCGGGTTCAAAACACACCTGGGCAACATGGCGAGACCTCATCTCTACAATAAATCAAAAAAATTAGCCGGGCATGGTAGCGCGCGCTTGTAGTTCCAGCTACTTGGAAGGCTGAGGCGGAAGGATCGCCGGAGTCCAGCAGGTCAGGACTGTGGTGGCTGAGTGTAGCCACTGCACTCCAGTCTGGGTGAGTAAGTGAGACTCCAACTCAAATAAAAAAAAAAGACTGAAAGTGGAATACTGCTGGGGGAATGTGGGGCATACCTCATCAACAAGCGTACCTGCATATTAGACATTTGTATACATAGCACTGAATTGTACCCCATATCTTAAATATAAATAAAGACTGAAAAATCAAGGGAATACAGTTTTAATGTAGAATAAGATATATATGAAGGTCGGGCGTGGTGGCTCATGAGTATAATCCCAAAACATTGGGGAAAAGAGGTTAGAGGATTGTCTAAGCCCATTAAGTTTGAGAACAGCTTGGACAACTTAACATGACTGCATCTCTACAGTAAATCAAAAAGTTACTCGAGCATGGTGGTGTGTATGTTTGCAGTTCCAGCTACTTGAAAGGCTGAAACAGAAGGATCTCCTGAACACAGCAGGTCGAGGCTACGGGGGATGGAGGATGGTACTGCTCTCTAGCTTGGGTGACACAGTGAGACTCCAACTTTAAAAAAAAAAAAAAGACACGAGTATCAGCCAAGGTTTTCATGCTCTAAAATTATGACATTCTAGTAGGAAAACAGACATAGTCCCTGACCTGAAACACATTTACCTGAGAACCAGCCATTTTTGCCACAACTGCCTCAGGCATTTCTTGTCAGATGAGATTATCTGGAAAAGTCACATCGACATGTTGAAGATAAGCCTTTATATATTAAAAATTAAATTACATGTATTATTATTTTTTTTTAGTTGGAGTCTCACTCTGTCACCAAGACTAAAGCTCAGTTGCACACTCCCGACCACCACAGCCTCGATCTGCTGGGCTCCAGTGATCCTTCCACTCAGACTTACAAGTAGCTGGAACTACAGGCACATGCTACCATGCCCAGCTAATTTTTCATTTATTGTAGAGATGAGGTCTCGCCAAGTTGCCAAAGTGGGTCTCGAACTCGCAGGCTCAGGCAATCCACTTACCTCAGTCTCCCAAAGTGTGATATTACAGGCTAAGCCACCAAGCCGGGCAAATTGCAGGTATTTTATGATTGTGAGTATTACTCCATAACCCAGGCAGGTGGGAAGTGTCTCCACAGATCTTATCACCATCTTGACCTCCTCAGCTCAACAGATTCTCCCTTCTCTGGCTCCCAAGAATCTGAAACTACAGGTATCCGCGACCACTCGCCTAAATTTTACCAGCTTTTGTAGCTACATGAATGTGTCATGTCCCAGTTAGCCTCAAATTTCTGGGCTCAAGCAATCCTCTCCCCTCTCTCTCCCTCACCACTGACCTGGACTAAAACCCAAAAAAGTACACAAAACCCAAGAGGGGACTTGGCCCCTCATCTTCTCAGTTTTAATGGTCCTCTAAATGAAGCCACAGCTCCTGTTCCAACTCCTTGTCTTGACTTTGGTTGTTCAACCAGGCAGAACCATGTTTGGACCTGGTGACAAACTGCCAATGATCCTTGAAAGGACAGACCGAGAGTGGGAAGTCATTTTTTATCTTGTTCTGAAACACTGCCCCAATGATGAGAAAGTAGAAGTTATGCTTTTGCAGAAATGCACACTTCAGGTATAATTAACTTTACTGACTTTGTCTTTTCAGAAAAAGACTTTCAGTTATCTGAGGGCTCTCACAGTGGCAATCAAGTTTGCCTAGAGTAAAGGGAATTTACAAGACTAAAGACACCATGCATTGGGCTAGGACTGTAAAAGTCATGAAACCTGTAATTACAACAGTTATAACCACTCAGAAGGAGAGCAAGTGGGGATTCCATCTTCCAATAAATTGGGCACTATCTACAGGGAAGCCAAGGATCCCCCGAAACTACTCACGGGGAATGCCTAGGAGGTAAGGGGCGGTGCACCCTCCACTAGCTCTAAGGAATGTCATTTGGGAAGGTGCAGGAGAATTAGAATCCTTGTCATGCCCGGGGCTATGATAATAACAGACATTAATGGGTCTCTGTGTCACAGGATCTTCAAGACATCCACAGGTGGTCAACAAGAAAGTCACAGCAGTCACGTTCAACATCTCCAAGAAAAGGATTTAAGCCAGGACTATGGGGGCTACAAGGCCACACTCACCTAGAGTGTAGGCCCACTCCCTGTCTGTGGCTGGTGAACTTTCCTTAAATAAATCTTTTCTTCTCTCACCTATGTGTGTTGCAATTCTTTGCAATTTACTCGGATCTCTGGGTTTCAAGCACGCACCTCCGGCTTGCCAGCCCCGGCGGAGCTGGGCACCATGCTCCATCCATTTTCTTTTACCCTGTCCAGTACCCTAACAACCCTGATGGCTTGGTCTAGGGATTTCCACCTGGATATTCCAGATCAGGTGACTGTGGGGTTGTCCTCCACCGGCACCAGCCTGTGACCGGCTTCCCCCTGCTTCTTCTCCAAGCCTTTTCCCCCAGGCCCTCAGGAGACCCAAGACCACAAGCCCTGACTGGGACTTAAGGATTCACGAGCAGCTGTTGGCCCATGGGAACTCCTTAACACTGTGCTGAAGCATCCGTTTACCTTCTAGGAGGAGAGAGGGACAGGGCCAGGACCACAGCCCCTTCCCCAGGGGCCCCCATGCCGGTCAGACCCGCCATGACACTCCTGGGTCACACACATACGTAGCGTGGGTTTTTCTGGAGAAATCACCAGTAGGGCGGGATCTCCATGGGGACAGGACCCTGGGGACCAAGCCAGACCCACCCTGTGCAGAGGGGACTGGGGCAGAGCTGCTGGCGGGCACAGGTCCAGGATCAGAATTGAGGGGGAGGCCAATCTGCCACAACCGAGTCATCCGTGTCCATCCTGCCTTTCGGTCTCGCACCCACACCCATACTCACCATCTCCTGGCTTCTGGGTGTCCCAGGATCTTCTATACTGACTCCCTGGACCTGCATTTCACAGGGAGAAAGGAGAAGAAGCAAAGACACGAAGCACTTTACAAGATGATGCGGCACTTCCGCAGGCTTAGAAAACAAAAGACCCGGTCAGAACTCGGAAGCCACCCCCTCACTCTTCGCTCCTTTCTGATTGGGCAATTTCAGAACTAGCATCCGCTGATTGGATAAGGCTACAGGCCACCACCCTTCTGATCTTGAATGACAGTAGATGACATCCAATGGGACTGGAGGAGGCAAGAAAAAAGAAAAGCACGTTTTCGCTTGTAGCATTTTGAGGTTTAGTTTCCTCCCTGCACCGGAAGTTCGGAAGAGGAGCAGGATGTGGCGTGATTCTCAAAGCATCCTGGGAATTGTGGTACAAGAATGAGGCTCGGTGGCTTGATCGTTGGGCTGCAGAACTCCATCCCAGTCTGCGGAGGCAGAAAAACACTTCAGTGTACCCTGTAGTTTCAAGGGGAGTCCACGTTTTTTGCCCTGCTGGGGAAATCCACATCCACCAGTGACATGTTGAACAAACTGGCCATTGCCACACCCAAGTACCAAGCAACAAGCCCCCTGAAAGAAGAGTAGAAACTAAAAAGGAATAAATATATGAATAAATAAATAAATAAGAAAAAAAAATAAGACCCCCAATGCTTCTGGATAAAAGGAGCGGGTTTGGCCGGGTTTGGTGGCTCAGCCTGTAATCCCGCGCTTTGGGAGGTCAAGGTGAGTGAATTGCCTGAGCCCGGGAGTTCGAGACTCACCAGGGCAATTTGGCGAGACCTCATCTCTACAATAAATAAAAAATTAGCCGGGCGTGGTAGCGCGCCTGTAGTTCCAGCTACTTGGAAGGCTGAGGCGGAAGGATCGCCGGAGCCCAGCAGGTCGAAGCTGCGGTGGCCGGGAGTGGCCACTGCACTTCAGTCTGGGCGACAGAGTGAGACTCCAACTCAAAAAAAAAAAAAAAAGAAAGAGAGAGAGTTTGTTAAATCCTTCGGGTCCTCTACCACTGTGGGAGGTTTTTGGTCCTCAATAAATCCTGCTTTTTTTGTGTTTTATTTACACTGAATGAAGCACAAAACGATACCACCCTAAAGCTATGAGTATGACAGCTAAAGAAGAGGAAGTTTAATTTGTGTGTGTGAATGTGTGCCTTAAGTAGGAAAGGACATTGTTAGAACAAAAGGAATCATCTTTTTTAAAATTTAAAATCTGAAAGTAAATCAGTTTTATCTGCTTCACATTGAAATATAACACTGATATCTAATGGATTCTAGATCAGAATCCTATGGACATCCTCTTTTTTGACTTGTCTGTTATTTATGCAAGGTTATGTTCATAAAGTGATCATTATTTAGCCTGCTTAGCAATTTCAAGAATGTTTAAAAATGTAATTGAATGGTGTTTCAAAGTACTATGAAGATGTAATTCATAATGAATGTAAGTAGTTAATGCTTTTGGTTTATTTTATTTTTCTTCACAACTAAAGAATATCATTAAATCATTTTAGTGTTGTTCTTTATACTTTGTATAATTAACATCATTGATTTTTATTGAGTTTTCTTGGCCAATTTGTTCAGTGAAAACTTGGGATAGTTTATAAGTCTAAGGGTTGTTTCCATTTTTGTTTTATTTTTGTAATTTTTTTACATTCCAACAAAGTGTCTGCTGTGTAATAAATGCATTATAAAATGCAATAAATGTTCCTCTTAAAGTTTGTGTCTTTATATAAGAGACAGAACATTTTCAGAATGAAGAAATTGCATTGTTTCTCTGTGTGTATCCCACATAATCCATTGACATTTTATGTATTTTATACTGTATTCTTACAGTAATGTAAGCAATTTAATCCAAAAAGACAATTGAATGCTGCATGTTATCAAATATAAGTGACAGGTAAACACTGCATACACACAGACATAAAGATGAGAATAGTAGACCCTAGAAACTGGTAATTGGGAGGGAGTCATGAGTTGAAAAACTGCCCGTTGGACACTGTGTAGTGTTTGGGGATAGTTTCAACAGATGCTTAAACCTCACCATCACCCAATACACCCATGTAATAAGTCTGCACAAGTACCCATTGAATTCAAAAGAAAAATAAAATCATGAAAAAGAAAAAGTATCTTTGCTATTCATTAAATGAAAATAGGTCATTATGAAGTTCTTCATTCTTGCTGACTTCATCGTAAGAATTTGAGGATGAGACGGAAGAAGAGGATCTGGTCCCACTGTCTAAGGAGGCATAGAGCAAACAGGTGAAGGGGATGGAGAAAAGGCAGGAGAGTTGGGGCACTTGGTGTAGCTTGACAGCAAGACACGTAAGTTTCTGTCTGATGGTTTACATTTTTATTTCTCAAAAATGTGGATATATGATACCAAATCTGCTCCACCATTTGCCTAAGTTTGAGTGACCTGTTGTAAAGGGGCTCTGTTAACAAAAGAAGTCAAAAGCAATCTCCAGACTCAGAAAACTTCTACCACTTGTCTAATGCCAATGTGTTTAATGGCATTGCTATACCTTTTTTTTTTTTTTTTTTTGAGGGTTGCATCTCATTCTGTACCCCAGGTCAGAGGGTAGTGGCATGCTCAGGGCCACCACAGTGACAACCTGCTGGGCTCCAGTGATCCTTCCACCTCAGCCTTCCAAGTCCTAGCACATGCCAGGACTACAGGCATGTGCTACCATGCCCAGGTAATTTTGATTTATGGTAGAGACAAGGTCTCACCAACTTGCCCAGGCTGGTCTTGAACCTGCTGGCTCAGGCAATTCACTCACCTAAGCCTCCAAACTGTTGGGATTACAGGCTGAGCCACCAAGCCCAGCCTAATTATTCTTTATTTAGGCCTTCCTGGGTTGTTCTGGAAAGTAACTGCCATCGTGTTTACATGTGTATTTTATTAACTGTGTTCTGCATGGAGCTGATGGAGTATTCAGATGGAATCTTAATAGTATATGTTCTCATCTTTCAATTTTATTTGAGGATCTATCCCATCTCCAATGGGAATCTTAAGTATCTATGCCTTTCCATGTTCCACAGTCTTAATACTACAGGTCTTAAATTCATGGTGAGAACAGTTTATGGTGGCTAAGCAGCATGAATGAACAACATAGAGAAGGCTCTGCCATGTTGGGAGAAGTGTTTTCCATAACCCTTGACTATCACATAAACAAAACCTATTTAAAAGAAGTCCATTAGGCAGGACCATCAGAAGTAGACAAATAAGTTTTGCAAGCTGTCAAATCATATTCCAGTAGGAAAAGTGGACACAGCCCCTGACCTGGGACACATTTACAAGTCATTTCCTTCTCCTTCTCTGGGATTTCTTCTCAGTTGAGATTATCTGGACAAGTCACATCACCAGTCACACCTACATATTCAGAATAAGCCTTATATTTGTAAATTAAATTAAACCTGGCATGATTCTAATTGGAAGCCCAGGCTGAGAACCAGTTAGCCAAGCATAACTTCTCAAGCTTGAATTTGCTCGTAAATCTTGTATTTGGAGTCTCATTCTGAGGGACTGTGCTTCTGCAGTTTTTAATGCATCCCTGAATATACTTTTAAAACATTCTCCTGTGAATTCGGATATGTGACACCTGAACCCACAGTCACCAGCACTCAGAGAAAGCAGGCCCAGCTTGCAAGGTCTCTCATCACAACACAAGTACTTTATATCCAAAAGAAGACAACCAATCTCCATGCCAAAAGATCACATCCTCTGCTGGCCCTTTAGAGTTTACAGAGGCTGCATGGAGAGGACGGCAATGTCTAAGAAGTTCTGCCCTTGCAAAACAACCTGGGCAGGATATATGAAGCATGCACCATGCACTCACAAGTATGCTGTGTTGCACTGTGCTGGAAACCACAACCAAACTGAATGGGAGTGAATCCTACCCTCCTGGGTTATTGGTACAAGTGTAGCCTAATTCCCAGGGTTGAAGGAACAGCCTATTTCTCTTTGTTTCTGTATCATTGATTTCATAAGAAAATGTGTAGGTTAAATATAAAAGATATGGGAATAAAGGTTAAGTATAAAAAGGTGGGAGGGGTACAGAGAGAAGGGAGGGAGTATCGTTCAGAAGGATTTTTCACGTTGTGTTCGTATTTACTTTTTTTTTTAGTTGGAGTCTCAATTGTTGCCCAGGCTGGAGGACAGTGGCATGCTCATGGTCCCTGCAGCCTCAACTTGCTGGGTTCAGGCTATCCTTCCCCCTCACCCAAGTAGCCAGAACTACAGGTGCGTGCTATCATGCCCAGCTAATTACCTGATTTATTGTAGAGACATAGTCTCACCATGTTGATCAGGCTGGTCTTGAACCCTTAGATTCAGGCAATCCTTTCACTTTGGCCTCCCAAAGTGCTGAGATTAGTGACTTGAGCAACCATGCCTGGCCTTGTATTTATTATTTTATAACTTGAGGAGAAATTTCTGGATCTGCAGGAATGAAGAACAGGTTGCTGGGTGAAATGGCTCTAGAAACACAGATGTTAAGGAAAAAGAAACCAACAGAAACCTCCAAATTTACAGTTGTCAGCTGCCATTTATCTGATTTGGGGCTTGCAGAAAATAGTGTGTCAGGCAGTGTGGCTCTCTCCTGTAATCCCAGCACTTTGGGAGGTGAAAGTGAAAGGATTGCCTGAATGCAGGGGTCTGAGACCAGTCTGGGAAAATTGATGAGACCTCATTTCTACAGAAATCAAAACATTAGCCAGGCTGCAGTGGTATACACCTGTAGTTCCAGCTACTTGGAAGCCTGAGGTGGAAGGAATCACTTGAGTCCTGCAGGTCAAGGACACAGTGGCCGTGATCATGTCAATATAGTTCACCTGGGTGACAGGTTGAGACTCCAACTCAAAAGAATAAAAAGGAAGAAAAGAAATGAAAAATTAGCCGAGCTCAGTGGTTCAGCCTGTAATCCCATGCTTTGGGAGGTGGAGGTGAGTGGACTGCCTGAGCCCGCTGGTTCGAGACCCAACTAGGCAACTTGGCGAGACCTCATCTCTACAATAAATCAAAAAATTAGCCGGGCCTGTAGTGCGCGCCTGTAGTTCCAGCTACTC